TAAAGAGGGTGAACTCCCATGAATATGGGAGTTCAAAAGAGGGAATGTTGGATTTAATATTTTATACCTTTTTATAATTCCTATCAAGCACTCAAATGTCAGGTCATATAAAGTGTGTGTGTGTCTTTCTTCCAAGGTTGAACTATGTTTATAGAAAGTGTTTGCTAAGTCTAACTAGTTGACCTTTAAATATAATCTCATAGTAGCTAAAGATAATTTTACAAGTTCACATTTGATAAATTACAAGCAATCAAATCAGGCCAGAGAGCAGACTGATTAACATAAATAAAGCTAGAACAGCTATTTAATTTAGACAGTATAGTTTGACTAAGTAAAATCAAATTAAGAGTATAACCATGATCCAAATAAAAACACGAACATAAGTTAGATAATATAATTATTCCTAGAAATAAACAACTATTTCAAATCAGTGTTATCACTAAGGTATAATCATGTTAAACAAACAGTGTTAACGGTTTTAAACGCAGACACAGAAACTTAAGATGAATCTGCTTTAAAACAGAATCACCAGACCTCCAACAGATAGTGAATTAACACCCAGGAGAATAATTAATAGTTATTAATTATTACGCATAAACAATTTAGACACGAATCATTTTATATCCCTAAAGTATAATAGCAAGTTAAACTTTAAACAAAAGCCGAACCAAAACTTATCTGAAATATAGACGTAACGTCCTTGAGGGGGCGGGCTACGTCGTAACCATAGCGACAGAAGCTGAACCAATCAGGAAGCTAGCCTTCTCAAACGGGATAAAAGGCCGGGAATGACGCACGCGCACTGAGCATTTTCAGAGAGGCACGCAGGAGGCGGTTTGTTCTTAATGCTCCATTTATATGCATATATCTTATTAATGTAACTGTTTGTCTCTGAATATCTGTAACCCATGTTGTGTCAAATAAATCTTTTATACGAAGGGCGACGCCTCCGCCGTTTTGAACACGACGTGGTATTCTATCCACAACACCAGTCTTTGCTGTAATGTATTTTGGGGTTTAAAAGCCACTGGGACGTTATGTTTGGAA